GGCTGGCTGTTCCACGTGTTCTGCTGAAACATCAGGCTTTTCACCTGATTGAACTGTGCACAGCTATGGATTAATTCTAAATCATCTTCAGAAGTGATGCTTAAAATAGCTCTTCTCCCCGCTCCCCTCCCCTCCCCTCCCTTCCCCTCCCCTCCCCATTCCTATCCTTTTTGGGTCATGTCTGTTAGTTTGTAAGTTTGCAAGAAGGAATTTTCCCTGAGCATCTGTAAGCCACTCTAAACATCTTTTTGGATGAAGAGTGAGTTTGATAAATAAAAATAGGACATTGACTCTGGACATTCCTATTTTAATTTTATTTTTGAGATGCCTTTTAAGTTGTATATTTAGCATCTAATTTCCAGCTAAGAGAGCTGAGAGTGAATGGAAATAGAAGCTAATTTATTAAGCATCATATTTATCATCATTCAGCAACCACAACGAACGTAGCAAAGGCAGAGGGTAAAATCAAATTATTTATTTGTTTGTTTGAATTTATTAGCCACCCAACTCCAGACTTTTGTGAACTTCGCAAAACTTAAGAAATGAAATTTCTGTTTACCCCATACTCAGTTGTTTTCATTGACTCTAATTTTATCTATTATACCATCTGTGAACTTCCTACTGTTGTATCTCATTCTTCTGCTCCTCTTCCCAGTTTCTTTCTTTCAAATTAGTCTGAAGGTATCAACAGTCCTGGATAAAAATATAGCCTAGTATATGTTTCAGGGTTGCCTCAAATAAAATCAACTTCCTCACATGGATAGCATATTTTAAAGAACAAATGTAATCTGTAGGATTCCCTCAATTCCATTTGCGGATGCGTGTATGTATATGTCACAGAATAAAAGGCATAACCAGAAGCCTGAAACTATAGAAAGGGCTGATCAGAGTTGATAGTAGTATAAATCCAACATTTATGGAAAGTGCACAGTCCTTAGCTTGATGGATAATATGCAAGCTATTCTTCAAGGGAAGTACCCTCACTGGGTACCTGATTTGATTTGAATTGCCAACAAGTAGCAAATGTGAAAAGAATTACTTGGAGCAGTACAATTTCGATTTAGCAGGCACACTGTTGGTGGAACTACAGGTTGTGTTCAGTCACTTCTGACTCTTTGTCAGACTCTTTGAGACATCATTTCACCAGGACTGTCAGCAACCGCTTCTTTGAATTG